CGAGAGGGAGCTGCAGCTTTTCTCTCCTCACCTGAACAATATTCTGCTTGTAACACTACCGCGCCTTTTTTTAATTAAAGTATCCCATTTGAATCTTCTCAGAGACTCCATTTTGTCTCATTTTTAAAGCTTCTCTCCGCGAGAATAACGAACATAGTTAACAATATGCAGGAATCCTGAAGTCAAATGTAAAACCTTTTAAGACCTTTTTTAAGACCCTTTCCATACATTTTAAGACCTCATTGCCACTTTGAGTTTTACCCGGTTACCTTGGCGACACACTTTCCCTCACATTGACTATATACAGTATTGATTGTCTTTCCTCCTTATCTTCCAACCATGTGGACACAGACTTGCATTTCCCCATAACGATGTTGTTTAACAACCGGCGTAAACGGAGCTTCGCGCGCTATCAAGCAGTGAGCGTGCGATGTCCCGTTCAGATGATGTCAAATCCAACGGGATGCCATAAATAAACTACACAGAATCACACTACACACCTACGCAATGATTACATTCAGGCAGACTGTAGAATACAACCTCTTTGGACAATTTATATACTTATTGAAAACAAGCTACAAAATCTAATACCTTGGAAAATGCCGTTTAATACTTTTTAATAGCCTTCATTTTTGCTAAATTGATTTATCAACTTTTAATACTTTTTAAGACCCCGCGGACACCCTGGTATAGTAAAAATGTGCAAATATCTTTACATAAAGAGCAGTGGACAGTTTGAGTATTTCTACCCTGTGGCTTCACTACTTTTACATAAGTAAAAGCTCTGGCTACTTCTTCCACCTCTGGTCAACACCGACTTATTTTTTAACCGATCCAGGAGAAAATATTTCACTCTGAAACAACGTAACTGACCATGTATTTTTCTTTCAATAGGGATATTATTTAGGAGAAAGGCTGCATCAGGCCAAGTCCCTTTGTTGTGTATTCCAACAAAACCAAACATGCATGCTTTAGGCAATCTAAACTATATTGGAACTTTCCTGCATAACAGAGGACTTTTTTTAAATGTGGAAATCGTTTTTTGATGTCAGTGACTATTGCGTCTTATCGGCATTGTAACAGTGAAGTGTAGTCTTACTCTCTGTGGGACTGTTGTGTTCGTTTCCGGGCGTCCAGGTGAGCTGAACGCTCCTCGCTGTCTGGTCCGTCAGCTCCAGGTCAGTGGGGGCGTCGGGACTCTCTGCAACACACAACAGAAAAATGAAAAGTCTCTCCCTGGTTTTTGACGAGGAATAGGCCTTGCTACCGTTTGGATTGACAATTTGACCATGAAAATGCAGGGAAATGTACTTTGATGCACACTGAACACATTTTTTCAGATAAAAATAGCCATCAAATAAATCTAGACAACGATAAACATGAAATGTATGACCCTGGATTCAATAATAACCAGGAGGCAATTGGTATTTTTTAAATAATTTTACCAATACACCTTGGTTCCTCTGTTGTATTCCAAAGGGCAGTATTATTTTGTTCAATTAAACATTTTAGATTCACGCTCACTCACACAGGTGTTTCCACTTCTCACTGATTAGACCTCTGCGCATGCTCATAAACACCCGAGATGGGTCTAATCGGGAAGGTTAAGTGAAAACACCTGTGTGGGCGAGCCCTTTTACAATAACTAGAAATACAATAATAAGAGAAAATGAGATTGTGAAATTGAAAAATGCATTCCCTAAATGAAAATCAAATGCTACAATATGGATTAAAGAAAGGAATAAATACAACGCAACTGAAATAACCAATGAGTTTTTACAAACAGAACTTGATGATTGGGTGGGAATAATGAAAGCTATGCATCCTAATTTGAAGACATTGTTTACCGTAGACAATAGCTGGAGTAGGAGTAGCCTCTGAGAGAGCGAGAAGCAAGAGTAAAGTACAAGAAGAAGATGTTAGTGAGAGATATTAGAGAACAGCAGACAAGCAGGGAAAATACTGAAGACAATTAGATCATAACGGACGCTGCTGCTGTAAAGTTGAAGGGGTGAAAAGCGGTTTGAGTGCATTTCAATAAAGATTTTTGGAAGTAATTGTAAAAAATGAGCAGGGCAGAAGAGAAAGGGAATATTGTGTTGAGTCCAAACCACTAACAGTATTTGTGTAAAGAGATCATTTATCACGGTTACTACATTGCAATTCCTTTAAAAATATATATGCAGGATTTACATTGTGTGGTTTCACTGTCTGTAATCAAATGGGATCATTTTAAAGTCCTGTAGGAGCAGTCCATATGAGATAAATGTGGTATTTACAACCTTGTAAGTGGAGATGTTCTGAAAGTCATGTGTTTGCTAATGTCAGAAATGCGGAGGCCATGAGAGTTCACTCTGTAATAACTTAATATATTGTAATTTGAGCATTTTATGTGTTTGCATTTCTTGAATTGTGTTAGCGGTTTGCCAGCTAGCTAATTTGTTAGCCTTGTACACTGAAACAACTCAAACCTTGACTTTAATTAAATGTATGGTGTCAACAAATTTCACATAACTGTATTAGGTAAGGCGAAATCAATAATATTAGATTGAATCAAAGTTTTATTTAAACTTGATATGATTGATATTAACATCTGGTAACCTGTTAAGTTATAACAAAGGACCCCTGAATGCATCGTGAACCTACCTACGACCGTCAGCATGGCACTGGCTGAGTCCTGGTCCAGGGTGGTGTTCATGATGCAGGTGTAGGTGCCCTCATCTTCATCTTCAACGTCTGTGATAGTCAGACTGTCCACGTCCACCTGAAACCTGATGGCAGAGGGTCGAATGGAGAGTTATAATCCTGTGTTTAATGGGATTATTTAAGTGTCTTAAAGGTCCCATAGTATACTGTTTTTCATCAATATATTATAGGTCTCAGATATATACAAACATGTCTCTGAAATGTTTGGCTTGAAACACCAAACAGATCATTGCAGCATCCCATAATCCCCTCTGTTTCAGCCCTGTTTCCAAAGTGCTGATTCTCTGTCTGTTACTTCAGATGAAAATAAGGAGACCCTCCCCACGGCCCTCTGGTTAAAAACAACACAATGGTTTTATAAATGCAGGGGTTCCCAAACTTTTCAGCCCGCTACCCCCAAAATAACAATGCCAGACACTGGCGACCCCCTGTCGACGGTGGGGGGTGCTAGTAAATTAATTTCAGTTTTCCGCACTGGTATGAAAAAGTTTGGGAAACACTGCACCAGTTGATTGTTTAAAAAAAAAATGTCTATGCAAACGTTATTATTAATAATAATTAAAAATATATATATATTAAAAAAATTAATCCATTTTTAATCATCTCGCGACCCCCACTCTGGGTCTCGCAACCACCCCCACTTTGGGAACCCCTGCTCTAGGAGGAGATTCAGGTGATAAGGTGGGGGGGGGTTACCTTGGTTGCTGATTGGCTAATGGTTACACAAGACAAAAAATCGTTATGACATCATAAAGTGGCCGAAATCTGATCAGCTCATTTTCAGACAGGTTTTTATAGAAATGGATCAGGACAAAAAGAGAGAGAATCCTTTTTCCTGAAACTTTCAGAATCTCTTTCCACAGAGGGGACACATATTGATGTAGAAAAGACATGAAGAAGTGGATTTTGCATAATAGGTGACCTTTAATGTCTTTGTACCTCTCATCTTTAGACACTTCTGTATTGTCCTTGAGCCAGGTCATGGTGGGGATGAGGGAGGGGTCGTGTTTGACTTTACACTCGAACACAGCGCTCATTCCTCTCTGCACTACCTTGTACTCCGGCTGCATCAGGATACGGGTGGGCTCTAGGAGACAGAGAAAATAGGAGTTAATACTAATAAATAACATTGTTTGATGTGGTTATAGAGGCCTTACATATAATGTTTCCCTTCATATCTGACCTTTAACCTCCAGGAAGACGTGGTTCTCTTTGATCCCCAGGCTGTTGGTGGCTATGCAGGTGTACTTCCCGCTGTTTAATGGCTGGGCCACATGGATATCCAACGTACCGTTCTCATGGATCACATAAGGGTCGCCATTCTTAACGCTGGTCTGACTGTCTTTAAACCTGGAAGGAAAGGAGGGAGCATTTAATGATAAACTGGTGGGAAGAAAGGGAAAAATCAACAAGAATTTGAATTTAACTTGCGGTTTGAAGTGAAAACCTGATCTGAATCTGAATAAACTTTATTTGTATACTGTAGCACCTTTCATGCACAAAGCAGCCCAAACTGCTTTACAGAAAACACAACAACAATATTAAAATAATATTACAATTAATACAGAACAACATAAAACATCTACAGTGATAATATGGTCAAATAAAACAATTTTAAAAAGAAAATTAGAAATGTAAAATAAAAGCAAAACTGAAAAAAAATACAGTAACACATGGACAATGATACTAGTGACAATCGAAAGTTAACCCAAACCAATCTTACCATGTGATGGTTGGTATTGGCGAGCCAAAGGAGGC